TGAGACTCTTGAGAAGGTACTTAACTTGGGTTGTTGAACTCCCAGATGTGGTCACTAATGGGGCAAATCTACCTATTATCAAGTTCAATATGTTTTTTTCAGAGTTAGACTTCAACACATAGAGTCTTATAAAGGAAAGTCCGCAACTAATGAACTTTTCCTAGTTCTCCACGTCTAACCCCCCAACGAGACACGACCATTACGATATTTCAGCCATAAGTAGTCCTGAAAAGTCATTATCGCGTTATCTTGCCCTGTTGTTTGCAAATGGTAAACTCCCCGACGCTCAGATACTCGGCCACTCATCACATCTGACAGAGCCGGCTTACCGATCAAAGGCTCGTTTAATGTCTTGGCAACAAGCTGGAATGAACCCCAAGAGAGCAGGTGCAGCACGTTAAGGCCGACCGTCCAAGACATCAGCTTCCAAAAGTCCCCATTATCCCCAACCCCGCAAGCCACGCGAAGCAGCGTTGTCGTGCGCCATGGCCACATCCCGGACGGAAGCCGAGAAGGCGGACAAGATTGCGGAAGAAACTTTAGGCCCAAGAACCGTGTTACTGAACCACCAAACTAGAACCCTGGCATCGGCAGAAGAGCAAGATGGGCAGGTCCTTTATCCAACTGACGCGGTGCTGAGCAACAGTTGGTCCCAACCCGCCACCCCGCGATATGAAAAAGTCTTGGCACCTGCCCTTTGGGGTTACATCGTGGCGTGCGAATATTTGAGCCAAGATGTTGTGACCCGCGTCTTGGCCCTCGGGTGCAGCAGCATCGAAAGTGCTTCTTCTATGCCTCTCGCCTTCTTTTCCAACGGCAAACTACTTGCGGTAACACTCACCCGTTATTGCATGACCAAGGCTAGCAGAACAACCAGGCTAGGCGAGCCCGGCTTTGCTGACAGCACTTGCTGGGCTCGAGTTCTGCTTATCAGTTGCATCAATTGGGCCCGCTGATTCGATATGCCTTCAGGCTTCATGTTCCCCGCCCCAGAACCCATGCAATCGGCAAGGTCCAAATGCATGCCAAGCTTAATTAGAAGCTTGAGCTCTGACTCTAGGCAAGACCTCGCAATGTCGCCGCGCAGCGTGCCATTCGACATGATAAGCCAGGGTGAAAAAGCAACTCAACATGCGGTGTTTGCATGCTATGATCATTATAAAGAAGCGGGCAATGCCCCTGAGCGCGTCTCTGAGATTCTGAGAGCTCAACCCGCCCTGATCTTCTCGCGGTCTCTTTCCTGGTCTCGCTGAGTGCATCACCAGATCATCCGCCAAGATGAAGACCACCTACCTCTCCGCAGCCGCTCTGGCGCTGGCCACATCCACCTTGGCCACCGATCCCCTCACTCCTGACAAGATTGAGGCTGACATCAAGACCGTTGAGTGAGTCAATTCCATGCTACCACGATCTCCTGTGATGTGCAGCTCTGGCTGACCAAGGCTTAAACAGGCTTGAGCGTGTTCTCTGGAACCTGAACAAGATCGCTCGCGACAATGGCGGCACCCGCGCCTTTGGCACACCGGGCTACAAGGCCTCAGTCGACTTCGTCCTGGAGCGCGCCCAGACTCGCTTCGCCAAGCAGATGGATACCTACCTCCAGCCCTTCAACCACACCTTTGAGCAGACCAACGCCATCTCCGTGACCGGACCCGACGGCGATGTCATTGTCATCAGTGCCGAGTACAACACCGCCACTCCCCTGCCGGGTGGTATCACGGCTCCTCTCATCGATACCCCCGTCGACGACGTGAATGGTTCCGGATGTCTCCCAGAGGCCTTCACGGGCATCGATGCCACCGGCAAGCTTGCCTTGATCAAGCGCGGCGTATGCGCCGTCTCTGACAAGATCAAGAACGCGAAGGCTGCTGGTGCCCTCGGTGTGATCCTGTACAACCAGGTCCCTGGTGACGATATCACCAAGCCCACTCTCAGTGCTGAGAACATTGGTCTCCTCGTCCCCCTGGGTATCATCACCCTCGAGACTGGAGAGGCGTGGAAGGCCCTTCTCACCGCCGGCGAGGAGGTGATCGTCACCCTCATCGTGGATGCCATCTTCGAGGAGCGCGAGACCTGGAACGTCATCTCCGAGACTAAGGAGGGTGACCCGAACAAGGTCATCATGCTCGGCGCCCATCTCGACAGCGTTCTTGAGGGTCCCGGCATCAACGACGATGGTTCTGGCACTGCCGCTCTCCTTGAGCTGATGGGCTCCGTCAAAAAGTACAGCGGCTTCCCCCACAAGATCCGTTTCGCCTGGTGGGCCGCTGAGGAGGCCGGCCTGGTGGGATCCTACTACTACACTGAGCACCTCAGCTCCGAGGACGCCGACAAGATCAAGTACTACTTCAACTACGACATGATCGGATCCCCTAACCCCATCTACGAGCTCGCCTCCTACAACAACAGCGGTATTGGTCCTCAGCTTATCGCCGACTACCTCGAGGCCAACGGCAAGGAGACCATCTCCGCCGAGTTTGACGGCCGCTCCGACTACGCCGGTTTCGTCGAGCTCGGCATCCCGGTCGCATCCATCTTCACTGGTGAGGGCGAGAACGACCCTTGCTACCACCAGGCCTGCGACACGATTGACAACATCAACTGGGATGCCATCACCGTCAACACCAAGGCTGCTGGTCGCGCTCTTGCTACTCTTGCCAACTCTCTTGAGGGTGTCCCCCCTCGCGCCAACACTACCCCGATCCTTCGGGGCCGCGCTGGTGTTCTCCAGCAGATGCGTCGCTGGAAGGCTCTGGCTGAGCACACCAGCCACGGCAAGACGTGCTCTCACAACGATGAGAAGAAGATCTACTAAGTGGTGTTGAGCCAATGGTGAAGAAACCGCCTATTAGGTGTAGCAGCGTCGCGGTCACGGCGGATGTAGATGTAGCCAACACTTTGGTTGAGTTAGCTTATGAGTAATGAAGATAATGTCTACTGAGCCCTGGCCTCACCTTTTGAAAAACAATTGAACTGCTCATTGAGACTCCTTGCATTCAACACATGTCTAATCGGAGTCCGTGAATAAGAACATCACGGAAAACACGGGCACCGGTGAAGTGGAGCCGATCGGCACCGGAGCACAAGAGGGCTCGGCGTCGCCCACCGCGGATTAGCGCCTCGGCAACTGGAAATTGCAGCTGGAAGCACGACCCACGCCGCAAATTTCTGCTGATTGGTGCTGTGCTGCCCCAACAGAAAGGGGTATCCCCATTACGCGTGTTGTGTTTGCTCTTCTCATGCCACCGCGTCACGTCAAGTAGAAGCCGGCGTTTCACTCTTTATTCCGAAGCCATCTGAGATATTATCTCCTCATCACGGGTTGACACTGATTAGATTCATCTTGCTGAGTCAGTGACAACTCAAGACCACCATGGCTCCAAAGAAGCACAACTATGAGTTTGGAGGCCCGTAAGTTCCGCGTTTTAGACTTGCTTCACACACTCAATCGCTAACTTTGATGCTCGCTCAGTCCCGGCGCCTTTGCGATCGTTTTTGGACTTCCCGTCCTCTTGTGGACCTTCTTCTTCGTCTGCAATGACAAGACCGGATGTCCCGCACCGTCCACTTTGAGCCCTCGCACGTTGACCTTGGAGAAGCTCAAGCTCGAGACGCCATGGCCCGCAGATGGAATCTGGGGCTTCTGTAGCTGGGAAGCTTTCGGCTGGAGCATCGCCTATTACTTTGTGAGCTTGGTCTTGTACCGCGTTCTCCCTGCTCAAGAGATGCTCGGTACCAAGTTGGTTCAGTCTGGTCGCCCATTGAAGTATCGCTTCAACTGTAAGGTTTCTCAATTCAAACACTCAATGAATCCATCTAACCCAGGAACAGCTTTCAACGCCACAGTCTTCCAGCTCGCCGGCCTGGCTATCGGCACCTACCTCCAAGGCGCCGACTTCGCCGTCTGGACCTACATCTCAGACAACTACCTCCAGCTCCTGACCGCCAACACCATCCTCGCCTACATCATCACCGTCTACGTCTACGTCGCTAGCTTCAGCGTGAAACCTGGCAACCCAGAGCTACGTGAGCTAGCCGTCGGCGGCAACACCGGCAGCCTCATCTACGACATCTACATCGGCCGCGAACTGAACCCCCGCATCACCCTCCCCTTCTTCGGCGAGGTTGACCTCAAAGCCTGGCTGGAGATGCGCCCCGGTCTCACCGGCTGGGTCATCCTCAACCTTGCCTTCTGCGCAAAGCAGTACCGCACATACGGCTACCTCTCCGACAGCATCCTTCTCACCACCGCCGTGCAGGGCTACTATGTCCTCGAGGGCCAGTTCATGGAGGCCGGCTTGCTCACCATGATGGATATCACCACCGATGGCCTGGGCTTCATGCTGACGTTCGGTGACATCGTCTGGGTGCCCTTCCTCTACTCCACCCAGACCCGCTACCTCTCCGTCTACCCCGTCCACCTCGGCTGGGCTGGCGTCGTCAGCATCTTTGCCGTCTTCGCGACTGGCCTGTATATCTTCCGCTCTGCGAATAACCAGAAGAAGGTCTTCCGCACGCAGCCTGATCACCCGAGCGTCAAAGATTTGCCCTTCATCCAGACGAAACGCGGTACCAGGCTGCTTACTGGTGGATGGTGGGGCAGATCTCGACATATCAACTATTTTGGCGACTGGCTTCAGGCTTCGCCGTTCAGCTTGCCGACTGCCGTTTCTGGTTACCAGATCCTCACTGCTGGCAGCGCTGTGTCTGGTGCTATTACAATGCTTGACGGTCGTGAGGTCGTTCAGGGCGCTGCTCGTGGCTGGGGCATGATCTTTACGTACTTTTACGTGCTGTACTTTGCCATCCTGCTTATTCATCGCGAAGGGCGGGACGATGTTGCTTGCTCGGACAAGTATGGCGAGGACTGGGAGAAGTATAAGAATGTAGTTAGATGGAAGATTTTGCCGGGTGTTTACTAAGGGAGTCAAGAGTATCTGCCATCATCAAGTTCGTCAACCAATATGGATGTCACCCATCAAGTTGGAGCTGAACTTGGCTTATGTAGCACCGTATTTGAGTAGCATAGCCTCGATTCGGCCCGAGATCTCCTCGATGTTTTCCAGGCGGTCGTTGACGAATCCCTTGAAAATTCCTCCACAGTCGAGTAAAGCCTTTAGACATGGCTTTTGGGTCTTATATCGACATATTTGGAGTGGGGTCATACCACTGAGATAATCGCACGCACGTAATATAGTATGCTCTGGCCGATTCATTGCAGCTGGATTCCCTCTAGCGTCTGGATTCGCTCCGCCCTCGAGCAGAATTTCCACTCCGTCCTGATCCAAACAAGCGACGGCGACTTGCAGTGGCGTGACTACAAAGTCTGGTGCATCTGTTTCCGCACCCAGATCTAGCAGTTCCTCAAGTCTGCACATCTCAATGCAGGCTGGAAGCGCGGATGAGCGGTATTCTCTATACTCCTCATGGCCATGTAAAGCAACGAAGTCCAGGAGAAGACAGCGAAAGTCGATAGCTTCGTGCCAGTTCGTTAAGAGGTGGTGCAATGCTTCACCCATGAAGCTATCCGAACCAGTGGCCGCAAGAAAACTCATAAGAGGAAGATGGAAATTTTGTATCGACTCCTCAAAATCAAATCGGTAACCCATGTGTACTATAGTCTGCAAGAGATTCCCTGCACAACCCTCTTTGCGTAGCATGGAGTCCGCTAGCTTGAAAGCTTGCAGGTACAAGAAGCCGATCAAAATGCGAACCTCAGGCTGCGGTGGTGCATAGAATACTATATCCAAGTCCCAACCAAGGAATATTTCCACGACTGGTTCCCCGTCTTCTGAGAGTTTCATATTATGAATCGTGTCAAAAGGATGTGTTCTTGAGTGGTGTGAAGTCGTAAGCATGATAGCAAGTTCCTCATTCTGTAGGAGAACGTCTTCACAATCACGAATCATTTTCATGACTGCCAGACTGCAATACGTTCCAAAGTCGAACTGCCATGTGAGGGTCGGAGAAGTTCGATGGTTCTCAAGAGTCCTTGTCTCGCCGATCTTGTACTGAAATGCTTCCGAGGAAATAATGCTTGCTCGTTCGCTTAGGGCTGTGGACTTGTCAAGGCGAAAACAGCATTCAGGACTAAAACGGATCGACGTGGCCAAATATTCCATGACAGTGTAATGCGAGAATGAGATTTCTAATCCGCCACAAAAGTCAAATTCGACATCTGCCGTGACAGTTATGAGACAGCCGCATAATTCGCGAAGAAAGTCGACATCGTAGCGGTAGTCTTTTGCACACCGGCTTTGCCGTGACAAGTCTTTTTGGATTGCCTCTATCAATACGTTGGAGTCGATCCATTTACGCCCAAAAACTTTGTTGTTGAAGCAGATCCAATCAAGGGCCGAAACCACAATTTGAAGATCTTCTTCGGGTATGGCCTCGAGAATTTTGTCGTATGCTTCATCGAGGGTTTTTGGAAGATTTCTCAGTTCGTTCATGATAGCTGCCTTGCTCCCTTTGATTCGTCGCAAAGAATCGAGCTGGCACACGATCCAACGAAACCTGCGGAGCGATTAGTCTCGCATAGACGTTAGCGGTTGTGAGTGACATACTTACATTCCTTTTGCGCCAATACACAAGGCCTCTAGAGCCTCTTGGCGTACATCTTCTGTCCAGTCCTTCAACTTGTCGTTGGTAGCGAGTCGAGATTCAGTATACAGACGAATATCAGCATCGAGGTACTCGTTTCTCATAGAAATTTCCGTCGAAACCTCTTCCATGACTTTTTCGATGTCTAGGTATTCGCGACTTGTCACTAAGAGCCGGATGTTTGAGAATCTCAAGTCGGTGGCGAGATCTCGCAAGACCTTGAGAAGCTCTTCTCGGGGACTGCTTTCGTCAACAGCGTCAATCGTGATGTGAACACTGCTGAAGTAGCGTAAGACAGCCTCAAGAGCAATGAGCAGGTCGCTGAGGCTAGGATCCTTGCCATCCTTGAACATTTTCCAAAGGTGGTCTGGGACCTGATCTACCTTCCTACACATACGCTCAAGGACCCATCTTAAAAATGGAGCTGACTCGTCCTGATTGCGCCCGAAGTAGCAGTAGTATTGAATTCCAATCGACACAGAGTCACTTGAAGTAGACTGTCGGCAATTCTCTTCGATTTTCTCAGCAAGTTGTGAAGCCAAGATAGTTTTGCCGGCTCCCGGGATGCCATGAATCCACAGGCATCGTACATCTCCTTGACTGAACTGGGTCCACTCTGGAGTACGTGACATCCATTCGCACGTTCCAGGTTCGTGATTTGTGCAAGCTCGGCGGTGAATTGATGATGGGTCAGTATGTCTGAGCCACTTGTACACATCGTTTCGTTGGTTTTCTAACCATTAAGGTGACGATCAGTATGGTAACAGTGGCTATCGCTTAAGAGGTCGAGTAGAACATACCAGTCAGAACTTGCTGGATGCGTGAAGTTCTTTCGCGTATGAGCTTGATGTCATGACTAGGCGAAGACAGGTCTTAGAATTCTTGCGGGCTACCCGTGGTTTTCATATGAGACACAGCATTTTCATTTACCTGGATGTTGCGGTTAAAGCGAGACTGAGTGTATTTTTGCACCGTGCAACGTCTTGGAGCAGTTTTCTGGCCTTCGTCTCCTTCAACGGCCATGCCAAGTTCCTCAGAGTGACCTGCACTTTCCTTCTCGTCGAATCAGGGGGCCCTTGTGCCTGGTTTTGGTCAGAGGCGATCAACTTCTCCAGCTGTTCGATGGCGCCATGGCATTCTGCAACAGGCCCTGCATCTCCGTCCAAAGCTTTTCGCAAAGCCGAGTATGGTTCTTCGAATTTGAGGAGGAACTCGACGTTCTGCAAGACTGCCCCCACCGAGGAACATTCGACGAGGATCGTGCGTAGATCGGAGGGTGCATCCCGGACGTTCTCGATGTAGTGCTTGCAGATTGATACTACTCTATCCGCGATCTGAATAGTTGCGAAGACGCTCGCCACAAGACCGAAGGCTTCTGCCATCTTTCAGCCGTTGTCAGTACTCAGGGCAGTACTGAAACGATCGATGACAGCAGCGACCCGCGTACTTGAAAAGGGGAGAATGGCGAAGATACGATCAGGCTGTGGGCGGGGAGATCTCGCCTTATGATTCCTATGGCCCCCGAAAGCAGCTGGCAGAATGCCTCGAAGTGTGCCCAAGGCAGGCTGTGCCGCAATCTGACAACTCCAGTCCAATTATTCGTCGTAGCTGATGGTGCGCCTCACAACGATGCGCCTCATAACGATCCCGTAGCCTGCATCGCCATGGGGCTGGTGTGCCAAGGCATATTAACCAATCAGATGCTTATCGCTGTATGAGGAATTGCATTGCAGATTACTTTGTCGAATGTGTCTATTTCTATCAGGTATTGAGACATGCAAGTAACGCTAATCGCTCACAAATTGCTTGAAATTCTAGTCATGAAGTTGGTCATCAGTTCATCCTCCTCCGGGATCAAGCCAAACTTATCCGCGCTCCTCTCATTCTGGAAGCCCTCATCGGGGCTCGCCCAGCTGTAGCCCTTCCAGACGCCCAACTCGGGCCACATCTTCTGCTCCACGAGAGCCTTGAGCTTCTCATACCGCGCCGAAGCCTCGCTGCCAGCAGCAAGACCCTCGAGCACAAGCTTCCACGACTCGACAGTCTGCTCGAGCTCCGCGGTGCTGGTGACGCCCATCACGCTGCCTCCGACGCGCACGTCGCCGCTCTGGCCCGGCAACTGCACGCCAAGACCAGCTGCGGCGCCAACGCGGGCGTACTCCTCCATTGACCATTGAAGCGCCACGGTTTCCAGACGCTCGCCGGCATCGCTGGCGATGGCCGAGAGCTTCTGGCATGCCGAGCGCAGGTCGTCCGGCGCGGGGTGCCACGACGCGATAACGCCGGCCTTGCCCTCCGCCGTCTCCGTGCGCGCGGGAACGCCTGTGGATGTGAGGAGACCCATACCGAGCATACTTGCGTTCAGCACGACCTGCACGCCGGCGTTGCGGAATCTCCGCAGCGGGCTCTGCTCGTCGGTGTGGTCGGGTCCGGCGACAACCTCTGCGAGGCCGAGCGTGGGGTTCTGGATGGTGAAGTGGCCGTAGCTCAGGATTGCATCGAGAGCCTCACCCGTCTCAGCGAGGATCATCTCGGCGAGACTGCAGAGAACATGGACGGGGAAACCACTGATACCGACATAGCGGATCTTGCCCTCATCGCGAAGCTGTCTTAACGTCTGGACGGCAGCAAGGACTTCTGCGGGGGAGACGAACTCGACATCGTGCATGTACACGAGGTCGAGGTACGTCGTGTTGAGGCGGCTGAGGGAGCGGAGGACAGAGTAGCGCACGTACGCCGGCGAGTAGTCAAACTCGTTGCCGGCGATGCGGCCTGCCTTTGTGACCAGCACGTAGGACTCTCTGGGGATGTTGGTGGCTGCGGTGTGGGCGGCCAGGGCGTCACCGAGCAGGACTTCTGAGGGGCCGTAGTACGGCGATGTGTCGAAGCCGTTGACGCCGAGCTCTAGTGCCCTTGAGACGATTTGCCTGTACGGCATCTGCAGCGGGTCCTTTACATGCTGGGTGTTGAAGGTTGCTGTGCCTAGGAAGAGAGGTGGCAGGACGGAGGCGATGGAAGGCCGGGAGGCCGGGTTGAGGCTTGTTGTGGTAGCCATGACTCCTGGAGGAAAGGTGATATGAGAATGAGATGAGAGCTAGTGAGAATGGTTCGATATGTTCAGGGTGTAAAAGTTCGGGAAGAGGGGCGGGAAAGAAAAGGGACTTGTCAGGAAACTGTCTAGCCTTAAGACGGGAAGTGAGAAGAAAGGGCTGAGCCGGTGAGGTGTTTGCTACTTGATATGAGAGGGTCACAACAGGATCGGTCCAGAAGTCTGGTCTAAAAAGCCCGCATGGGGGGCCTCGCTGCTTGCCAGGCTCCTGGACTAGGAAGAATTCGTTATTAACCATAACTGTTATGTGGGCATTCGAGACCGCTCTTCTCCGTCCGCTTCTATTAGCGTACCCAGAAACCGTGAGCTCGGATTCTCCCAGGGCTAGGCTCAAGCCGCGTACGCTCAAAGGGTACTCGACTCAGTGCCGATACATAGGTAAGGTATTAGAGTATCAACTCGTCAATACTTACGAAGCTATGTTGCGTGGTGGGGTTTATGCGTGGTCTCTCTTGGGCCAAGCCCTTGGGCGCGAGCTATTTTGCCAAGTGAATTTGGACCGATTGCACGTGTCACCTCGTCTCAACTTGCCACAACTTGATAGACAAAAGTGACAGAGTGACAGCAGAACGACAAGTTGGGCAAAGCCGCAAAAGAGAGAGAAGAGAGATCATGGATGGGAGGACCCCCAAATGCAAGAATCCTTGCCAACTGCAATTTTTCTCCTACCGGGCCTCGCCGGCCGGCATAAGTGTGGCGGAACCCCCAGTATCCATGTTCCTCTGAGACTTCCCGTTTCAAGCCACCCTCCTTGACTCGTCATCCACAAACAGATCCCCCCGATCCCTGGCGCCAGTCGTACGGTCGCACCAGAAAGCACCGCAGAAAGTCAGAAACCCAGAAGATGCGGTGTGCTCCATTGCGGACGCTAAACTTGTTTTGTCATATAAACCGTCATTAGCCTCAAAATTTCCAAAACACTCGGCTTTCAGGGTGCGTTGTCCAATTCACTCTCGGGTTTTCCCTCATAATCTTTGCCAACGAGAGAGGCGGGCGGCACTTAACAAAAGCCCCTCAACCTTGGATCATCATCAGGGTCGTCTGTAGTTCGACTTTGCTTCTTCCGAGCCCGGTGTAATAGTTGTTAATTATCATCGTCGACGAGAGCAGGCTCCGACACTCACAATGGCCGCCGTTGCGTCCCTGGACCCTCACATTCGCGGCATCATCGATGATGCCGCCGCCGATGGCATCCCGTTCCGGGCCAAGTCGGCTCACTTCCACACCACCTGGGCGCGCACCTTCTCATCGCTGCCGGAGCTCTTCATTCAGCCTCAGTCGCAGCAGGAGGTTGAGAAGGCTGTCAAGCTTGCGCGCCGGTGCAGACGGCGCATCACCACGGTTGGCCATGCACACTCACCTTCGGACCTCACGTGCACGAGTAACTGGCTGGTCAACCTCGATGGATTCAAGAAAGTGTTATCTGTCGATAGTAAGCACAGACCCTCATGTCATATCTCATTCACTCATCCGCGTAATCTCTTGAGAGCTATGCTAATGCAACTTGACAGAAGAGACTGGCCTGGTTGTCATGCAAGCCGGCATCCGGCTATGGCAACTCACTGAGGAGCTGAATAAGCATGGCCTCTCATTCCCTGTGCTGGGTAGCGTCAACGAGCAGAGCATCGCCGGCGTCATCAGCACAGGAACCCGCGGCAGCACCCTGAAATACGGTCTGCTTTCCGAGGCCATTTCCTCCCTCAAGATCGTCCTTGCCAACGGTGAGACGGTCTCATGCTCGCCGGACGAGAACCCGGATCTCTTCCGCGGCGCCACGCTGTCGCTCGGCGCCCTCGGCATCATTACCGAGGTCAGCTTCCGTGCCGTGCCGGCTTTTAGCTTGCACTGGCAGCAGACGATCCAGGCCGACTACAAGATGCTCGACGCCTGGAAGCAGGACAACAAGCTGTGGACCCAGTCCGACTTTGTCCGGGTGTGGTGGCTGCCTTATACCAGGAGGGCCGTGGTCTGGAAGGCAGACATTGTCACAAAGGAAGACCTCGAGTCCGGAAAGGAGAAGAACCGAGATCCGCCAGTCGGCTACTACGATGGAGCTCTCGGTTATCACATATACCACAACCTCCTTTACCTATCGCGTTACATCCCTCGCATCCTGCCCTGGGTTGAATGGTAAGCTGAAGCCCCTTCCTTGATACACCTCATCCGACGTCGTCGACGGACTCAACGGACTAACTGACGTCCTACAGGTTCGTGTTCGGCATGCAATACGGCTTCAATGATGGCTACACCTCATCAGCCGTCCAGCCCATGGATAAGGCTTTGTGGATGAACTGTCTCTACAGCCAATTCGTCAACGAGTGGGCCATCCCGCTCCACCGCGGGCCCGAGGCCCTGATGCGTCTCGGATCCTGGCTCAACAAGCTCAAGCCGGGCGACCCCGACTACGTCGACCACGGCATTCCCTTCTCTGCCGAGGGCCTCTACGTGCACTCGCCCGTCGAGGTCCGCGTCTGCGACGCCACCGTCCACACCAGCGCTGAGCAGCGCAACAGACCCTTCCTCGACAGCACCGTCAAGGACGGTCCCACGCTCAACCTCAACGCGACGATGTACCGTCCCTACGACCTCGACCCGCCCGGCCTGAAGCGCTGGATGCAGGGCTTCGAGTGGCTGATGCGTGACCTCGGTGGCAAGCCGCACTGGGCCAAGAACTTCAACGTCAAGAACGAGGAGTTTGCTGAGTGGTACGGTGATGACATGGTCCAGTGGCGTCGTGTCCGCGATGAGGTTGACCCCGACGGTCTGTTTGTCGGACCTTGGCACCGGCAGTTTGTGCTGGATCCCAAGAGCGCTCCTCTCAAGTTTGAGGAGTTTGAGAAGACGAGGCATGATGCTGGCCGGGGTGTAACCGTATACGGCACCCGTCTGGAGATCGAAGACGCCGATGCTGATGTCAAGGCATGAGCTACCCTATCTTAGTTAGTATCTGTAGTGTCTGACTGTGTAACTTCTTGGCCCGGTGAATGGCGTGGGCTGTGAAAATTGGCATCTGGATCTTTCATAGCATTGATTTACTTCCTACAATACAATCACATAGATTTCAAGCGAGGCAATTTCCATCACCCTGCCCAGACTGCCCGGATGTATTTTACATCCAAAGTAAGATTGTGAACAGTTCTTATTCCCAATATTCGAATACGATGAAACGTGCAAATCATTGCCTCTTCCGTTGATGCCTCCCTTCCCAGCCAACAATCTTTCTGGTCCCTGAATTTTGGAGCTGTCTCCTTTTCTGCGCAGTCGATAACCCACCCCTCCATCCACCCCCATGGGCACGCAGCTACAGTAGGCGAGGGCAGGACGGGGGTCTTCTCCGTTAGTGCATCCGTCAAGATGCTAATTACTTGGTCTGTGGTGTAGGTAGATAAATGAAAGTCCGAAAATGCCAGATACGTGTAAAGACAGCTTTTTACGCCGTAATGATAGGTAGACCGTAGACCCCACCACTTGACCCCCCTCCCCTGTGTGATGCTCAGATCGTCGCCCTTTAATCTTGCTAAGCAAGAAAGACAAGGTAAGGGTCCGTGTTCTCCTGGAGCGAGATCACCCAATTCTGGGCACCAAGACGAGACTCCCAAGTTCTAGAATTTCTTTGGGAAGGACAACAAAGTTAAGGAATTCTGGATACCCTTCATCACATCATTCTTCTTTTTTCTCGCTCGGGCTTTTCAAGGGGCGGGCGGCAGGGCATGGTTCAAGTTATGGTACTTCGGCCGCGGGGCGCGGGTGAGCGGCAATCAGCGAGTTTGATCATCGCACAGAATTCAATGCCGCTCGTACGTTCGTCCCCCTTCGCCGGTGACGGTCGGCGAGGACGAGCGCGGGCTCTTGTTCTTTGTATCAACGTCGTCGTAAGGCTGCAGGCTCAACGTCGCATTGCGTCGCGATTGTGGATTAGTATTGCACTGCGGTGTTGCGCAATCGCGCATTATCTGAAGACCCCTTCGTCTTAGTTGGCGATATGGCTTGCAGCAAGGGGACGCACCAACAGCTTAGTGCTCATGAGTAGCCTATATGGCCAGCATCTTCGGGACGTTTGACGAGGTCTTCGGATCGCTGATACCGAATTGATTACTGCCAATGCTGTCTATATTGGAAGGTTATCAATTTCAACCTTGTTTGAGGTTCCTTAGCTGCGGTGGTTGAGAGAGAAAATAATATGAACATTTACTTGGCTTATATTAGTCGGAGAAATAAACGAAAAACTCAAAATGATTGAAAATCCAATCTTGCATGAAGATCCGGCCGGTGTTTGCCGGAGCCTCAGATGTTTGCGCACACGCACTGGCAGGCCTAGACACCTCTGTACTCCATCAGGTAGTCTGGGATATCTACAATGTAGGGGCTTGTCGCAGCACCATGTCCCCAACTGTACCCGGCTGGATATCCGATAGTGATATGGAATAAAAGCGGCGAATCAGTTCGTCGACAATGATGCTATCCCTTCCCCTGCGTTGCCGATAACAAACAGATTGCTGGGGGTTCAATCCAGTGTTCTGAACTTCCGTCAAGTCTGTTCCCGAACGAGCGCGCGGCAAGCTCGAGCCACAGCCGGTGGGTTGGCCCTTGGGCTGGGAACAGGATTGTTGTCCACAACATCCGCGTACTCAAGGGGCCGTCCTTGCTTGCTTGCGTGTTGTGGAACCTCTTGCGTGAAATTGGTAACTGAGCCGCCTTTTGCCCAATGCCCAGTTATCACATAATCATGCAGTTTGTGAGCCGCGGTGCAAGGTGAGGGAGTGAGAGAGTCAGAGAGTGCCATCTAGCTTTGGGCTGTTCACCGCCGCGCCGCTGGCTGTGCTCCGTTCCCCCCAAGCGCGCCCACTTCCCGACTCTCTGGATTCACCGAAGGGCTGAGCGCAAATCAAGGAAGAAAATTTCTATCAGAGTAGCACTCAGCCGCGTCAATCCCGTTATGATTAAGG